GTGTATTTGAACTTAAATTAAAACATTATGAGTATTTAGCAAAGAAATCATAATGTGATAAATATTTAATAGATACTTAAAACCTTGTGTATTTCAAAACATTTATTTATACATTATTACTAATAATGTATTTATATATTATAAATCATATTTATTATAGTTAGCTTAACTTTTTATAAAACAAACATGATCCACACTCAATTAACTCTTGTGGATCGTAATGTGTATTTTTTTGGTTTGGGTTCTTAATCACAATGTTACAGAATGGGAAAGGGAAGTGTGTAGTGGTCCATTTCCCTCCTTAAATTCGGGGTTCAGTTTCTCACGGTGGACAGAGTGTAGCTAGCCCATTTTGTAGCTTTACACTAAGAAAACAACAATACATTGGAATACTTTCGTTAGGATCATTCAAACAGATTGCACTAAACCGCTTTTTCAGAATTACTATTACTCTTTAATTCGAAATCTGCAAAGCTTAAGGTAATCAGAAAAATTTGTCACCAATATCCTGCCTGTAAAATAAATAAGGAATATCTATCATTTAGCAGAAAGTAAATGATTCTACTCAGCACAAGTGGATTCAACGATGAATTAAAACAACAGAGGATTATCTCCCGTGGTTAGATGTACAAAAACACAATAAAATAACACTTTTTTCTTTGCTTCATTTTTTATAAAGATATTTTTTACACCTGATCTTCTTCGTTCTTTTTTTTATCTCGGGAGAGGCTTCATAGGGTTGCTTTGTACTTTACACTTACAATAATATAACTGAGTACAAATTAAAAAAAAAAGACAAAAATGTGTGATCTGTGAATAATTAGAGGTATTGGTACTTTTCAACCTGAACAGCACTTTATACGATACAATGGCTAAACGATTGACACAGAGACCTCAAAGATTGAAGCACAGCCATCTCTGATTTAGAACTGTCGAACAGAAGTAGAGCAAACGATCAGTAACCTGGATTGAATGCTTCAGCTGTGGCTCCTCTGAACCTGGAACCCGTTTAGCCTCTCAAATTTTCTAATCATAGCTGGGCCTGCCAAGTAATTAGCACTTACTAGAGTTAAATCATCGAGCATTTTAGAGGCTGTTCAGTTTTCATAACACATACTACCTCAAAAGGCCTCATACAAAAATTGTAATATGCTAATTTTATGGAACTGAATCAAATAGTCACGAAATTTTATAGACGAGGGATTGGGCAATAAGTGTACTACTATGATTATCACTGCAAGGATAAGACAGGCCTAACTATTTTCTCAGCATTCTGTAAGAGAGGGATCTCAGAAAGTTGAAGAACATATCAGGACAGAAAGAAATGAAACGTATTTCTCTCAAAAGAAAGAAGTTTTATTTCAGTGCAAAGTTATACAATAGGCTGTCTGTGCTATGTCCATCGCGGGGAATCAAGCACTTGAATTTTGGAATTGTAAATCCCTAAAAATTTATAAAAATAAGAGGGAAGTGGACCATCACACACTCCCCTTCCCCACCATAAAACTCTTCTGGTGAAATATTTTATAAAACAGATTGAACGAAAAATAACTTAAAACACAAATAAATAACATCAGTAAAAAAACAAGAAACTAATTATATTTAACTCAAAAATTAAATTGGCATATTTAATATTTACATCCAGTTTTGTTGTCAGTGTCTGCATCTACATTTTCAAGCATATGATTAGAGCGCTACCTATACAAGGACTAGATTGATGATAATTTTTATCTGGTGCCACCTAGTGGCGAGGTTAGACATTACATTATTTTGATTAGATTTTTCAGAAAAGAAAGAAAGAAAATAAAAAAGAGCTTCCCTCTTAGGTTTATAATAATATATGTTGATAAAGTCTGATTTTTTTTCTCTTTAACTGTCTAAAACTGGAAAAATGAAATAACAAACCTTCTATATAACTTCAACACGACCAAAGCATGAAAAGTCTAAAAGATAATGTTAAAAACAATTGTATATAAAATAATGATATATTACTTTTATAGAATAAAATTAAAAGTTATCTGGCATATCTTTCCCAAGTCCAAACATCACTTAAACATTTTGAGAAAATACATTTTACATAGAAACTCTGGCAGGAGCACCATTTCAGAATTCAATGGGGGAAGGCAAACTTTATTGGTGGTTCAAACTCTAGTTGGATGTTCTAGAATTTTAAAAGTTAAAGAAATAGAAATCAATTTATTTTGGAAACATCTGATCTGATTATTTTCTGTATTATTAAATAATTTCAATAATGCAAAGTAAAGATTTTACATACTTGTATTGTTTCTAAAATTAACAAATGATATGAAATGCAGAGAGGGGTAAATTCATCTCCTAAATGACATCCCTAAACTCTGGCCAGAATCATTCCATACCCATAAAAAGCCATTATGGACAGGGGGAAAGCTGATGTAGACTAGCTATAATGGCCTGGGTTCACAACCGTTTTGTAAGCCACAGCCCATCAAGTGTTTAAACTGTTCAGCTTTTGGGTTAGCTAGATTCTAGAATACCTTCGTTGGGTAGTTAATTTTGATTTTAGTGAAGTATAACTCAGACTGGTTTACCACCCACGGAAAAATTTCTGCAGACACCCGTGACTGCACACAGACTGCTTTACCTCCTTGTATGAATTAGACTTAACCTCTGTCTCCTGGAAAGATTGTACACACAGATGCCCACAGGAAGAGGCAACAGATGCCCTTCCTAACATTAAAAAAAAATTGCACGTATTATGATGTAAACTTAACATCGTAGTTAAACTAAATATTTTTAGTAATTTTTATTAAACTGTAAATTTGTGTTTGCATTTAAGCACACATAACATATTCTTTTAGTCTGTTAAGTTACACTGTAAAAGCTGATCCCCTACATACATTTTTTGCCCCAAAAAAATATTTCTGTGAGCACCCATGAATTTTGTACACAGAATGGTTTATCTCCTTGTATTAACTAAACTTCTGTCTCCTGGAGAGACTGTACACAGCACTTATTACTTCAGCCTGCTCTCTGGTTTCCTTTTTACAGATGGAATGTCCTTTCCTTATTTCTTTGTTTCTCTACTTTTGTTTTAAGATAAAGTGTATGTTTAATATACAAGTTTCAATGATTTTAATTTGTGTGGTTTAATACTGTCCCCCTTTGTTTTACATTAAACTTGATTACTTTACACTTCTTGCTGCCACTAGTTATAAACTTTAGTTGATTGCCTCAAATCAAAATGTTTGTAAAATGAGTTCACTTTTAAAGACATGGACATCCCTCCACTATACCTTTCCTTATACAACAGCAACTTGTTTTGTCAGACCTAGATGAAAAAACAGGTTTTCTAGTCAAGTACTCTGATGTCTTGCAACTTCATTATCATTACATTTTAAGAAAGTTGTTCAAATCATAGAAGCTCAATAAATCTATCCAGTTGGTAGATTTTTTCAACAGGTTCTAACACTTGATCAAGTTAATAAATATCCCTTATAATGGTTGTTTATAGTGAAATAACACTTTCAAGTAAGAGTCAAGAGTAGAGATAAAGATGGATAAGTGTTGATGCACAGTGCGTGTCAGTCCAAATCTTGTCAAAAACTTTGAGACTTACTGGTTAACTGAGGGATTGGATATTTATTTACACCAGCTAAGAACAGGAGTTATAAATTCATAATGGCAACGAATTACTTATAAATGACTGTGCCTCGTACTATTTTTTGTTTACTTTATTCAGTAATTAACTATGCTACTCTGCTTTGTAAAAGTACATTTGATTTCTGTAGCTCAACAAACTGTTACTATTCATAAATTGTCATATACCTAACTCAGTATCTAAACAATGTTCAACAAGTGACTGTTACCTGCATGGTTGGAATAAACTCTGTGTTAAAAATATTTTGAAGATAAGTATACCATGGGATTCAGACTGTGCCAAGAAAAAGGTCATAATCTGACCAATTAAAATTTGGATAAGAATGGGATGTGGCAAATATGTTTATATTATAGTTATTGCAATACTTATTTACAATTCTTGGCAACTGTTTTAAATAAAAAGTTTCAACAATTCTATCGTAAAAATTAGTAAAACAAGATATAAAAATGGTGTAGATTTCCAGTAGCAAAACTTCTAATGAAAAACAATATTCAAATTTTTACTCATAGTTCCATTATACCATTACTGAACGTAAATAATTTTGTTTTCTGAAAACTGTAAAGTCTCATCTACTCTAAAAATACATATATGACAGTGAGCAAATTTTGAATGAGTTTAAAAAACAGAATATCTGAAGTTTTCAAGGACAATATGTTGGTGATAATTTAGGTATTAATATCTTAACACTTCATTAGAACCATTATCAGTATGAACAAGTGAAATACAACTCACACTGGAACCTAATGTTTGAACTTTGTCTTAATACAAAAATGAGAGAAAAACACAAAAGTAATTGCACTGGTGGCCACCTTATTTAGCAATATTTCTAACAAATTCTTTAATAATTTTTTAAATTTACTAACAATATTTCACTTTTATAGGCTAGAAAATTGCTAGATTTTATCTATTTATCAAGATTTTTAGCAGTCTCCACACGTGTTAATTAATACCATTTAAAAACTAACATATCTAATATTTATGTGGGTTTGGAATTTGAGTCTAATGAAGACACGTTTCTTTTCAGGTAACTTACAAAAGTATTATCAATAACTTAATTTTTAAACCAACTGATTAAATTTCTTACTGTGATATGTACCATCTAATTCCTTTAGGTAGGTGTGATTATTTTAACACAGAGTGTGTATATGTTTCTCTGGTTCTTACTGATTGATTATTTGAGCATATTATTAGTTACTGACTGTTATTATGTAATAATCTTCTACAACAAAATAACTGAAAGCTTTCCACTGAAAATCTTTATTAATTAACTCATTTTTTATTTATTTTCAAATAAGAAAAATCTCTTAATGTCTTTATTATTTTTTACCTACTACTTCAGGGACATATATTCCATATAGGCCAAAAGGCACATGCCTACACACAATTCTGAAAAAGAATAATAAAAAGAAACAAAAAATAATTAATTAATAGATATTTATATACCTTAATTAACTTATGGTCATATTCACCATGGGAGTGTGATCCCATATAATGTGTTTGAAATATATATGCCCCTGTACTCCATAAAAGCTTGTGTAGTGACCTTTTCAATAGAAGAAAGTCATTCACAGTCTGTCTCTATGATCTTTACCTACAACTTCATTAAGACTTGTATGGCCATCTTCTCGTAAAAGTTCTTCCAACTCTCTTTTAATTTTCTTTACAACAGGTGGACCTTCATAAGCAACTGCTGTGTATACCTCAATCAAAGAAGCACCTGCTTTAATCTTCTCATAAGCATCTTTACCAGAAAATACTCCACCAACACCAATAATTGGAAGTTTGCCCTGTGTAAGACGATACATTTCAGCTACTGTAACAGTTGCTAGATCTTTTAAAGGTTTTCCACTTAAACCCCCACTCTCTTTCTTAAGGGAACTGGTGAGGCCCATGGGGTAACTAATAGTTGTATTAGAAATTACTAGCCCATCAATTTCTTTTCCTTTTCTACAAACCACTAAAGCAATGTCTTGTTTTTCTTTTTCTGAAAGATCAGGAGAAATTTTAACTAGTATAGGAGGTTTATTATGAGGAAGGTTATTGCGTGCAGCAAGGACAGCATCAATGAGTTCTTCTAAATTTTTAGTGTGTTGTAGGTCACGCAGGCCAGGGGTGTTTGGACTAGATACATTGACAACAAGAAAATTGGCAACATCACCAAAAACTTGAACACCTTTAACATAATCTTCCACAGGATATTTACTTGTTTTATTTTGTCCAAGATTAACACCTACTATTCCAGTGGTTTGTTCTTTATTTTGGTTAAAATATTTAGATAACCTGTTTACAACTTTCATATGTCCTTGGCTATTAAATCCACAATGATTAATGATGGCTTTGTCTTCCACTAAACGAAATATTCTTGGTTTAGGATTACCAGGTTGTGGATGAGGAGTAATTGATCCAACTTCAACAAAACCAAATCCTGCATTTAACATGGTCGATACCACCTCACCATCTTTGTCATATCCAGCTGCCAGTCCAATAGGGTTTTTAAAATGTAAGCCCCAAACAGTGGTTTTTAGAAGAGGGCTACTTTCGATTCTTTCTTTGAAGGGAACACCACATCTTCCTGCAGTTAATGCTAGCCTATGTGCATTTTCTGGTTCAAATAATCGATGGGCTACAGGAATAACCCAGTGCTTATAAAACTTTTCATTCCCACTGCAAATAGCAATTCCTGTAAAAAACACACCACTTCCTGTGCATACGATCATCATTGACCTAATTTTTCTCCAAAATTTTGCTTTTGATGCGTTCATCTTCAGTAACTTTTATTGTTACCTTAGCTACGTGTTGTTGAAATAAAACTTTTAAAACTTAATCGAAAACTATGAACAGTTAAATACGGCCACTGCTAGTATCACTGATGCATAACTTGTAGTTGTAGACTTGTGTAACGCACGTGGTTAGTCTATGGTATTAGTAGTAAAGTAATTTTTGTATGACTAACATCAAACACACAACTTAAAAATTACGAAAATGTTTGCAACTATAGTAATAAAAATATATTCTCTTCTCACTACTTTGTAACATCAGTGTTATCTCGAACATTCACAAGTTTGAGTGCTGTTCAACAATTTGACACCTGAAACGATTACTATGGTGCTGATACTATATCCATAGATATTTCTATATCAATTTGCGCCTACTATAGATGGCAGCACATAAGCACATTTTTTAAAAGTAATATAGACCAAGAAAAGAAAGTTTTTTGATTATAAAGTAATTGTGTAATAATATCAAAAAAAGAAAAAGTGCACTTTTCTGTATTTAACTGAACAAAGGAACGATAATAAATCATAAATTACCTTTGCTTTTCATGGATACAAACAAATATATAAATCTCTGTCAATTCATAACCTCGCAAATGGGCGTTTAGCTGTTAATATTATAAATATACTTTTTATACGGGAAGGTGGTGTAATGAGTCACTGAATATTAATTCGTTTGTTCTTAGTTAAGCACAAAGCTACACAATGGGCTATCTGTGCTCTGCCCACCACGAGTATCGAAACCCGGATTCTAGCGTTGTAAGTCCGCAGACATACAGCTGTGCCACTGGGAGCCTGAATATTAATATTAACACATTAGAGAAAATAATATGAATGTTAGCGATTAGAAAGTTTATTGTTAATACGAAGATTTGTTATTTAGTTATATTATTAGTTGGACGCTTCAAAACCCAAACACTGCTAAAAGTGACACTATAAAGTCATTAAAGCATGTTATATATATGTATATATATTTAACATGATTTAGTGATTTATTGTTCTTCGATAAAGATAAACTATGTATTTTTGTCTATATTAATAATTACTTGATTAAACTTAAAAAACACACTGGAGCCCCATACAGACAGAACTGTTACGAATTTAAATCTACAGGAATATTCACTATTTTATGAGGAATCCAGAGGTGTACTCCGATCTATAATTGGATAACACCCAAAGAAGTTACGATTGCTTTTTTTTCAGTAGAGTTTGTGATTTTTTACCCTAATTTAGATAATGGTCATGACATTGGTGTAGTACATTATCTTTTTAACACTCACCATTCCCGAATATTTTGTGAAACCTGTGAGGAACTACAAGATTCTCTGAGGCCCTATACAGACAGAACTGTTACAAATTTAAATCTACAGGAATTTTCACTATTTTATGAGGAATCCAGAGGTGTACTCCGATCTATAATTGGATAACACCCAAAAAAGTTACGATTGATTTTTTTTCGGTAGAGTTTGTGATTTTTTACCCTAATTTAGATAATGGTCATGGCATTGTTGTAGTACATTATCTTTTTAACACTCACCATTCCCGAATATTTTGTGAAACCTGTGAGGAACTACAAGATTCTCTGAGTGATTGTTCTTTTTGAGATGGAAATGAGGGCAGATTCAAACAAACCTGCAAATGTAAAGTAACAAAATGTCTAAGGTGTTACAAATTCAGCAGTCGAGAATGCGATCATGATAATACCAGTTTCTCAAAAGTTAGCCGTAAAAGAGGTCAGAAAAGCTTCGGCGAAAGAAATGCTTTCAAATACAAACCTGGTTTCTAGCGTTGTAAGTCCGCAGATATCCCGCTGAGCCACTGGGTGGAGGGTGAATAATGCATTAGATATTTCTGATAAATAGTTTCCGCTACTATGATAGCACTACTTTCGATGACGAGGAACCCACTTTGAGACTAATCATGGCTGGAGACGGCTTGAATGGGTAATGAAGAAAAACTTTAATACAACAGCAAACGTAC